GAGAAAGTTCGATTGCAAAAACGGAATGATGGGGCGACACCATGTAGGATCAAAGATCAGTGGTTGCCATGTAGGATCCGTGGTTGTGGAACAGCGAACGGAGGGCTGATCTCCTCTCCCCCACAAAGTGCGATGGGGATTTGCTGTTTTTCTTTATTTTTTTTTTGTTTTTTTTTTTTGTTTTCTTTTTCAAAAAAGTTCGATTGCAAAAACGGATTGATGGGGCGATGCCATCTAGGATCAAAGACCAGTGGTTGTGGAACAGCGAACGGAGGGCCGATCTCCTCTCCCCCACAAAGTGCGATTGGGGATTCGCTGTTTTTCTTTTTTTTTTGGTTTTTTTTTTGGTTTTCGTTTTCGAAAAAGTTCGATTGCAAAAACGGAATGATGAGGCGATGCCATGTAGGATCAAAGATCAGTGGTTGCAATGTAGGATCAGTTGTTGTGGAACAGCGAACGGAGGGCTGATCTCCTCTCCCCCACAAAGTGCGATGGGGATTTGCTGTAGGATCAGTGCGATGGGGATTCACTGTTTTTTTTTTTGTTTGTTTGTTTGTTTTTGTTTTCGTTTTCGAACGAGTTCGATAGCAAAATTGGAATGATGGGGGCGATGCCATGTAGGATCAAAGATCAGCGGTTGCCATGTAGGATCAGTGGTTGTGGAACATCGAACGGAGGGCTGATCTCCTCTCCCCCACAAAGTGTGATGGGGATTCGCTGTGTGTTTTTTTTTTTTTTTTTTGGTCTCATTTTCGAAAAAGTTCGATTGCAAAAACGGAATGATGGGGCGATGCCATGTAGGATCAAAGATCAGTGGTTGCCATGTAGGATCAGTGGTTGTGGAACAGCGAACGGAGGGCTGATCTCCATTCCCCCACAAAGTGTGATGGGGATTTTTTTTTTTTTTTTTTTTTCGGTTTCTTTTTTGTTTTCGTTTTCGAAAAAGTTCGATTTCGGTTTCTTTTTTGTTTTCGTTTTCGGTTGCGGAACAGCGAACGAAGGGCTGATCAGTGGTTGTGGAACAACGAGCGAAAGGGATTTGCTGTTTTCTCTTTTTTTTTTTTGTTTTTTTTTTTGTGTTTTTGGATAAGCTCGATTTCGGAAGAGGGCATGATGGGGAGATGCTATGAATGATGCGGCGATCATTTTGTTGTGCCCTACCCCCTCCACCCTTTTCGTACGGGGGTCCGGTGGATTGGAAACGCCGGACCTCCGACACCCGTGCACGGTCGGGGGTCTGGCGTTCCCGAACCGCCCTACCCCCTCCACCCTTTCCGTACGGGGGTCCAGCGGATTGGAAACGCCGGACCACCGACACCCGTGCACGGTCGGGGGTCCGGCGTTCCCGAACCGCCCTACCCCCTCCGCCCTTTCCGTACAGGGGTCCGGCGGGTTGGAAACGACGG